AAAAGATTTCTGGAGATGAGAAAGATAGTCGAGGACTATGGACCTTTTCCATAAGGACCATAGCCTCGAAGGGGGGATTTGATAAGCACCCCTTGTTTCAGGGGCACCTGGCTAAACCCCTAGGGACAGAGGTAGGGCTGGAAGCCATGTCCAGCAGAGATCCCTTGAACTTTTACTATGCATTTTCTACTTCAGGAACAGCTTTGTGTTCTGAAAAAAAGTATTTTATCTAACCAAGGGCATACAGTAGATTGTTTAGGCTGGGGGAGATTGCTTGTTGCGTAGTTGCTGATTATAATTGCTGGCCTCGCTAGAGGAAAAGCTGTATCAACAAAGTTCTGGAGCTGGAAGGGGGGTTACTTGGGGGGGGGCTGGAAGGGGGGTTACTTGCTGGGCTTGCTATACATGTCATCACATCAGCAGGTTTAACCTGTTACGTAGCTATATAAGGCAGACGCCCACTGGGGTGGGGGTGCTTGCTTTGCGAACGATTGCCAAGCACCATTTTCTGCGCAGGAAATAAAGGTTAAGTTGGATCCTTCACCCCTGTGTGTTTATTGGCACAAGCGCACCGGGCACGAACTCACTGTCCTTTGGGGACAACAGTGCCATGACAATCCTGCATGCACAGCAGGGGCCTGAGCACTGGGGCTGCCACAGAGACCTTGGGCTATGTGTGGACAGGGTAAGGCACCAGTAAAGGGACATTCCACTCTGCTGGGCACCAGGCACCTTTGCAAAAGTAGCTTCTCCTCGGCAGCCACAGGAGCTTGGCTTCGCAGGGCCCACCAATGCTGAGGCAGCAGTGTGCTCTGGTGCTCCAAATGTGCCCAGCACCACTGTCCATGTAAGGGTCTGTCCCACCCACCCAAGATGGGAGCATGGGCAGCAGGGCTATGGATAGGAACTGTGGACAAGGAGGCAAGGTGCAAGGGAATAAGGCAGTCACCACCTTCCTCATCAAGGGCCGGAACAGACAGGAGGCGTATGCGTGTGTGTTATAAATGCAAAAGGTTTATTTAATGTCAGTAATTTAAAATGCCTTGCACTATTACTAAATATTGGTTATCAGATTGGCATCGACTGATATGGTTGGTTAACCATCGGCTATTGGTATCAGCCAAGAAAATCTCTCAGTGAGCCCCTACATTTCACCAGTGTTCCTCTCCATTCACCATTCTGCACAGGAAGAAATCTTGTGAAAGAGAACATTGAACTTATGGTATTATTAATTTTATTTCTATTTAATCCTTGTTCTGACACTGAGTTTTCTGTGATTTCGGAAATGTTGTTTGACATCTTTATTTCCCCCATACAAATTAAAGATGATGTTTCTTTTTAGCATTAACTGATGTTTCTTAGGAATTCTGAAAATGGAAAGTACTAACTTAATGTTAAATTATGCCAAAAATAAATAGGTTTTTTTAGGTCTTTAAAATAAGCTCCTGTCTGACTGGTTATTTATCATCTATAAATAATGTCAACCTCATGAAATCACATGGGCTTCCAAGATTTCAGAGACTGAAAACAAAACAAAAGGAGGCCCAAACCGTTTTAGATCCAACCTAAAATGAAAGCTGCATAAACTAATTTGGTTTTCAGAATCAAATACAACTGCTTTACATTGTTACCCTAAAGCATACAACTGTTCCACTTCAAGGGTTCCCGCTCATACCTCATTTGCAATTCTTAACACTCTCTTCCATAATGAGACAACAAACACATCTAGCTCCATCTTCAGAACTACTGGCAGGTGCTACAATTTGCTTCTCTTGAACAATCTCAGATGGCAAGTGAGGTAAAGAAAAAGCAATTTAACTTTTCCCAATTTACTGTGGTTCATGTCCCAATCACTATCATACTAGTTTAAGTTTCAGTATATACGATATACACTAGAACCCAGGTCATTCATATCTAGGTTGTCAGCAACTTGCTTAATTTGTAGCAGGTTCCCACAAAATAAGAATGAGCCACTCAGCTCTTTGCTCCAGCTTTTACTTCAAAGGGCGCTGTTTTTCTGACCGACTGGAGCTCATCAGTGATCCCACATAGATGTTTCTCTGTGCAACTCCTGGTTACTTCGTAAGCCTTCATCTTCACAGAGGGAAAATGATTCTAATCCTGCAAAGAATTCAGTTTTACTGCATTTGTTTAATAATTCCTGCATTAAAATATGTACAGGAAAACATTTACTGACCACTTAGTTATGTCTTATTAATGGTCCAATTTAAGGCTGGCTGCAGAGGGCACAGTGTCTACATTGCCGTCCGTGGCTTCCTTACAATGTCAAAATTAAAACAGAAACAAATTTGATTTTAATAACAAGCTTTAACCATTTGACTAAATATGTATTGATTGCTAAGACTTTTCTTCATTTTATTTCTGTTTTCTATCACTCCATTAAACTTGAAAAACTGCTTCTTGTATAACATCACATACTGACATCCTATATTAAAGAACATATTTCTTTAAATGCTCTGAGCCCTAATTAATAATAAAAGCTATCCATCTAAAACCTGGCAATTATCACAACTTTAACAGGCCAGGCTTTCATCTGCACATGTTGGTATGCACTGGAGCCAGCACATACCTCTATCCAGAGTTTATCTGGCACCAAAGACGTAGAAATACATTTGTGTTGTGGCCTCAGCCTGAAGGTGCTGAAAATTATCTGATTTTTATCAGAAGTTCTCAAGATGTTTGAGACATTAGTTAAGCCAAACTTACAACACACCTGTGAAATGGATACTATTATATGCATTTTACATATGCATAAACTGAGGCACAGAGACTTTGTCACATTACACATTAATAGAAGAGTAAGCAACTGATTGTAGGACTACTTGCACCTAATCTTCCATCATAATTATGATATCTCATTGCTCCACCTTTGTATTTTTATATATCCCATAAGCAAGGGCTTTTCCAAAGTAGCAATCTTTTGGGTTAATATTTCCCTCAGAGCGAGAAATTACGTACAGGGTGACATCCTGGCCCTATTAAAGTCAATGACAAAACTCCCGCAGGATTTCTCCTAGAGCATGCATTAAACAAGGTATGGGATTATCACTTTCTCTTATAATTCTTTTAAAGAGGGAGTAAATACCTATGCCAGGATTTTCAAAAGTGATGGCATATATATGGCCTGATTTTCAAAAATTGAACAACTTGCTTCCTCTCACTTACTCTTTCTCCCAAGTGCATGTGGATGATTGTATCACATTTAATTTATTTTGAGATAGGTTAATGAGTGGGCTGTTGAACCTAGATTCAATACAGGCTGCAATTCAAGGCTGGTCCAATGGCCAAAAACTGTTTTTGTAAAATTGACAACCAAAATGCTCAATCTGACAAAATATTTCCATTATCTTTAAATAATGTCCATCTCATGAAATAACATGGACTTGCAAGATTAGAGACTGAAACTATACCAAAAAGAGAGACCCGAATCAGTTCTAGATCCAACCTAAACTGAAAGCTGCATAAATTGATTTGTTTTTCAAAATCAAATACAACTGCTTTACATTATACCCTAAATTCAAGTGTTCCACTTTAGGGGTTCCTGTCTACACCTCATTTGTAATTTTTTACACTCTCTTCCATAGTGAGAAAACGATTAAATCTAACCTCATCCACAGGACTATTAACAGGTGTTTCAATTTCTTCCTCCTGGACAACCTCAGCCGGCACCTAGGTAAAGAAAAATCAATTTAACCTTTCCCAATATATTGTAGGAGTTCATGTCCCAATTACTTTTATACTAGTTTGAGTTTCAAGATATACAGCAGATATCCAGCAAAACCAAGTCATTCATATAGAGGTGGTTTGCAATTTGCTTAATTTGTAGCAGGTTTCCCAAAATTAAGAATGAGTTACTCGTTTGTTTGCTGCAGCTCTTACTTCACAGGTTACTGCCTCTCCAGTCAGCTGGAGCTCACCAGAGGTCCAAGCAGATGCTTGGAGAAGCCCTTTCTTTTGATATAAAAGCTGCAGGAAATTGCTGGAACTGCCATTACTCTGATCAGCTGAAGTTCATCAGTGACCACACACAGCTGTTTGCTACAGTCCTGTATACACCCCGGCTAATTTGTAAACCTTCATACTCCAAGGGTGATAAGGAACATAAACCCTGTAAAAAACCTCAGTTCTACTATACTGGTTTCATCATTCCCCCATTACAATATATACAAGAACACACTAATAGTAAAAAGAGCACCTGATCCAGATTTCACTCAAGTCAAAAAAAAATTTCACTTAAAAATTGAGCATAAATTTCAATGGGACTTAGCCTAAGGAAGGCCGGAACGTTTTGGCTCAAAGTATTTAAAACATGCAATATGCAGATTTCACTTTAGAAATGAAGTTCAGCTCTCATAAATAATTTAAGTGAGCTCATAATTAATGGCCATGTCTGAAAGTGATTCAGCACAACCACGGGGAATTAAAATGTCAAATTTACAATGCTAAAAACATTGTAACCTCATTCCCAATGTTAAAAAGGCTAATAATTATCTTATTAGAAAGTTACTGAAAACCCTTCTCTTAAGGCAGTTCGTCTTAATTAGGGAATCTTGCTATTGCTGTAATATGTATCTGAATTTAAATCAACACAAGGCTGGATTTAAATAAAATATACCTTTCAAACAAGAATTTTAACAAGAAACAGAAAACAGGTCTTCTCCAATTATTTAGTATTTTAGCTAAGTAAACCGTCCTTTCCTATAGGTGTAGATTAAACAGTCTATCACAACTGACATTCATTTATCATGTAAGTTGTTACAGCAACTTCAGGAAGGCTAATTATGCAAGCAAACTAAACAGCAGTCTTTGGTTCATTGTCAAAACACCTTATTTCCTTTTCAATTGTTGTAACAATATCTTGTATAGAAAGAAACAAAAATGTTACTTTACAAATACAAACTAAGCACATGCACTGGAATTATAAAAGCAGGATTAAATGTAAACGTTAATGGGCCATAAGTGAAAAGGACTAGGTGTAGAGAGAAATCGCTTAGATGAGAGTTTGTTAGATCAGAAAACTTAGTCTTCCACAAAAATTAAAGGAATATCACTCAATGGAGCTAAATAAATTTGGGAAACTAACTAACTAAATACATTCTAAGAAAAAGTGTCAAAAAAGGAAGAGATTAAAAGTGAAGATAATGCAAAATAGTTACAGACCAGATGACCTCAGAACAGAAGTGGCCAGCCCACAGGACACGTATCACAAGTAGAATGGGCAGCCTCTGCCTGTGTGCATGTAGCATGTGCCAAACTGGGGAGGGCCCAGAGCAGATAGAGCAGGCAAGCTTACCAGCTAAAAAGGCTGGCTCCACTGCCTTAGAAATATTGACTCTTCAGGACAAAAAAATTGTTGAGTTGTTCCTAATTCATCACCCCAACACAAAGAGGAATCATCTCTCTTATCTGTGCAACAGGACAGTTGTATGAAAAATATATGGGCAGCTCTCTCTGATAAGATTTTATAAGACTGATTAGAATATAAAAAAACCAAACATATGCTAATATTTACTGCTCTCATTCACACCCATATGTTATGTCTTTCTTCTGTACCTTACTCTATTGTGCTATTCTGTCTACTTTTTCTTCCTCTCCTCTGGGGCTATTCTTGTATTTCTACATTTTCCATTCCATGCTATACTGCACTACCCCTCTTTACTGACCCCTTTATATCTGATACCTCCCACTGCACTCCCTGGTTTATGCATAGCCTTCCCAACAATATCAGCACATTGTAGTCAAGCTTCAAAGTTATTTAAGCATGAATTATTGTAACAAGGGTCACAATAGCAAAGATCAGTGACAGCTCAAGCTAGTTCTCAATGAAATGGCATTATATACCACCAACTGATCTTATACAGTGGGCTCTCGATTGCACAAAGTATATGGACTGGGGCAAGAGTCACACATGGAAAAGAGCAAATTTATCTTTTGAAGGATTATAAATTGGAGCAAACAAGACTTGCAGCAAATATAGTTCTTGTCTGAGAAACAGACACATTTTTAAATATGAAAGGTGATTTGTTGAGTTGTTGGTATCCCTCTAATTAAGAGTTAGCTGTGTTTATCAAAAGCCTGTGTGAATTTTCTAGTAAAGCCTGAAGTGGTATTGTTACTTCCAGAGCAGTAGCTGTGCCATGAATGAATAGATAACTTCACTTTCCAGTGCTGTCAATCTTGCACCTTTCACAAGCTCTGAATTCACTTTAAAATACAAAAATAAAGATTTTACTGTCAGAAGTAGTTTGACTGGATAGATGAACTGAATGAGAAAGTTCAGAGGAGGTGGTAGTTCACTGCCCATAGGAAATCTCTCTCTCAGTTCCTCCTGTAGCTGAAAGATGTTAGTCTCTTTAAAATCAGCTGTTTTTTGCAAGAAACAAACATAAAACTATGGTTTGTATCTAGCAAAGATCAAGATAATAAATGAGAGAAGCAGCAGAATTATTACATGTATCCTGATAGGTGAGCATTTCTCTTTTCTTTGCTATTTTAAAACCAGATATACTGGTTTTTAATCAGTCTGGTAGGATGTTATCCAACTCTTGATATGCAGGTATTTTAAAAATGAAATTGCTCTAATCCCTTCCTCTTTGATTTAACAGACTTAGAGTGTTCCTGGTGAAGAGTACTGATATACAATCCCTTTTCATGGACTTATTGCTTGGAGAGAATACACGTTTTGTCACAAATCAATTTACTTTTATATCCTCTGGGTCCAATTGCAGAGTTTAGTGCCTTCCTACCAGATAAACATACATATCAAAATTAATTAGAAATAAGTAGTTATGTAATATATAGATGCCTATGCTTGAAGACTGCTGGTTGCCATAACCAGAAAATAATTAGGAAGAAAATTACAATAAAGAACAGAAACAAGCTGTAAAATAATCCCAAAGCTGGCAAACATGATCCAGGTCACTCCTCTATAAGCACATTCCACAAAGGCAGGTATACAACAAACAGAAATGGCTTGGCTCCTGCCCTGAAGCAAGCCAAAGAAGTTCAGAATATTCATGAAAAGGTCACATGAGAACTACAGGTCCTTGATGAAGAAGATAACTCCCACTGAATCCACTGGGGATACAAGGAACAATAATCAGTTCCAGTTTCACAAATCTTAACTGACACAAAGGTTATGCAAAAATCAAGGATGATATCTTTTATTGCACCAACTGTCTAGCTGGAAGGGACACAGACAAGTTTTCACAAGTGTACCTTTTATAATTATCCAAGCCACCTAGGAATCCTTTTAAAATATTTTTTTATCAAACAAATAATTTGGAAAGGACATCAATCTGAGCTTGATACTGGGTGAGGCTTATATTCAAAGTTATCAGAGGATAGCAGAGGCCTGTTAGTAAACTACTACGACTCAGTGTTGGTGGTGGTGGTGTTGATATTGTAGCACCAATAAGCCCAGCCAAGATGAGGCGCCACAATACTAGGTAGCAAATATCTACATACTAAGAGATTCTCTCCTTTCCAAAAGCTCTCACAGTCTACAGTGACATAAAAGAATTATTATCCTACTTTACAGCCAGAATTTGAAATCAAAGGGAGATGAAAGGTTAAATCCTAGCTCACCTTCACAGGCTTATGTGGCACTTACATAGCCATGTAACTACAATTTTTACATTGACAAGCAGTTTAAATTGTACACAGCTAGAGTTTATCCTGTTTCCCTACTGAGCATGCTCAGGAGGCTGCAAGTGGCTGTGCAGGCACCTGGGATAGAATACCATTGCTTGGACACATGCAGAACACTGGGTAAACCACAAAACTTTAGCCACAGAGGGTGTCTTCACACGTGCTCTGGGGGTGGGTGCTTTAATTAGAGCAACTCCCAAGAGCAGCTTTAATT